GGAGAGAAGGAAGGAAGGAAAAGAATTGGGAGGAGAGAAGGAAGGAAAGTAGGGAGGGAGGAAAGAAGGAAAAGAATTGGAAGGAGAGAAGGAAGGAAGGAAAGAGTAGGGAGGGAGGAAGGAAGGAAAAGAATTGGAAGGAAGGAAGGAGGAAGGGAGGAAGGAATAGTGGTGCACTTGCTACAATGCAATGTTGCAGGCTGACACTGCCCACTGCAGAGTCTCTGCCCACTGCAGCTCGATCCTGACCGGCTTAAGGTTGACTCAGCCTTCCGTCGTTCCGAGGTGGGTAAAATGAGGACCCAGATTGTTGGGGGCAAAGAGGCTGACTCTGTAAACCGCTTAGAGAGGGCTAGGAAGCACTGTGAAGCGGTATATAAGTCTTAAGGGCTCTTGCTCCTGAGACTGCAGTCACAAGCTCACACAAAGCCGTGGGGTCCAACGGTCGTTCTGCTTTTTCCAGGGGCTCCTGACAAAAGTGGATGTCATGCCCAGGTGCGTAACCTTCTAACATGGAAGACGGAGGTCAGAAAGAAGTAATCGACTTGAATAGTTTCCGGAGCCATCGAGGGAAAGGTAAGTTCTCACGTAGTTCTCAGCTTCTGGCCACCAGAATTTCTGCTGCTGAAGTAAGGTGGTTGGTGAAGTGCCTTGCGCAAGGAATTCTGGGAGTTGAAGTCCACAGGCCACCTCTGCCCTGGGATTTCCCCTCCTGCCTTATTTCCGTGCACACTCGGGCCGCATATTTCGGTCTGGAGTCGGACGGACGGACGGACCTCGTGCATGTTTACGAGCTGCTACAAACCTTCAGCTGGCTGATGGGCTGGTCCTTCCTTCAGATAGGGTTAACCACCGAGACGAGGGACTCATCACGATATCGGACTCCTCGGACGAAGACTTGCCTGTGATGTTGGACACACCTGTTAACCTGCAGTGGGAAGACGAGGATGATGAAGACGTGGTCATCTTGATGGAGGTAAGTCCTCCCTTTTCTGTGTTCCAGTTACGGGACGATCAGCCTTTAATAGCCAATAAACACGGCCTCAAAAGATGTGATTTTTGCCTGCAAGTCGGGGGATCCCAAGGTGATACGGAGCCCATCAAGGTTGACTCAGCCTTCCGTCCTCCCAAGGTCGGTAAAATGAGCAGCTGAGGGATTCAAATGCTGAGGGGCAAAAGGCTGACTCTGTAAACGGCTTAAAGAGGGCTGTAAAGTATTGTGAAGCGGTATATAAGTCTGCTATTGCTTGGAAAGGAAAGGAAAAGGAACGATGAAACCTAGTTTGGTAATGAAATGTCTATAAGGAAACAACCAGGCTCAGAGAGTGGAAGGAAGGAAGGAAGGAAGGAAGGAAGGAAGGAAGGAAGGAAGGAAGGAAGGAAGGAAGGAAAGAGAGAGAGAGCAAGCAAGTAAGCCATGGAGGCGCAATAGATAGAATGCAGAATTTCAGACTAACTCTGCCTACTGTCAGGAGTTCGATATTGACCAGCTCAGGGTTGACTCAGCCATCTGTCCTTCCGAGGTGGGTAAAATGAGGACCCAAATTGTTGGGGGCAAGAGGCTGACTCTATAAACTGCTTAGAGAGGGCTGTGAAGTACTGTGAAGCGGTATATAAGTCTAAGGGCTGTTGCTGTCCAATGGTTAGTTTGAATGTTGGTACTGTGGAACTGTGGGTTGTTGGCTTTTGCATTGGGGTTTGATTTCTGCAAGCCACCCAGAGTCACCATGAGTGAGTTGGGCAGCCATATAAATGTTTTTAATCAATAAATAATGTGACAACGCAGCTCACACAATCTGCTTTTTTCATATATTCAGACATATTAAATGTTGCTATTAATCCAACAATCTGCTTTTTTAATATATTCAGACACATTAAATGTTGCTATTTTTTTAATCAGTTCGGTGGAATTTTTTTTCCCCCTTCTTGTTCTGGCAAAAGCAGGCCAGAGAACTTACCGTTAACTATACTGCTTGCAAATTATCAACCTTTCAGTTGCTGTTTTGTGGTTGTTATAAAACTGCACAAATCCGGTATGGTCTTGCTAACGGACCTTTGGCAAATCAGTTCAGGTTGTTGGCTTTCTGAAATGTTCTTGGGTTGACTTTCCATAAACCTGCATGATTAAATTTTATGGGGCTTCTTGAAATATAAAGGAAAAAAGAATTACAAGTTTCTTCACGATATTTTCTTTTAAAAAAAACCCAAAAAGCACCTTTTCAACAGTGCAGAAAACAATTCCCCCAAAGGCCCCATTCTTTTCTCTTGCAGTTTGGTGAAGGTGTTGGGCATTGTTTCCAACGATGAGTTTCACAAGTCCTGATTACTCTGAGCTCGGGACCTTCTCAGATTTGGTTTTTGTACGTTTTCCAAATAGGCTGCAGCTAAAATTGGGTTTATCTTGTACTAATAATTGCAGCTAAGCCTTAATTATTAAACCACAGTGCAGTGCATGGGCTACAATTGGTGGGGGTCGCACTTTGCACTAAACCTCAAGCAAAATGGTCAGGTGTGTAAACCAGCTGCAAGGTTTGAGAAATATCCCAGGGCTTAAAAGCAAAGTACAGTTTTTCCCCCGCCGCCTTTAAATGCCAGATTGCTGTTTTTCCAGCTCCTTAAATGTTCTTCGAGCTGATGAGAGGTTTATTACCTAAAATTCATTCTATGCATCCCAGCCGCTTTTTATTTTTCCCTCTGAGAGATTTTAGCAGGTTTTGACAAGGAAGAACTGTTGACGACAAGGTCAAAGTTATAATTTGAAAGGGCTGCCGCAAGCAGGGTTGCGCTTTCTGTGCGGCTGGGAATTTTTGTTTCGTTTGGTTCCAGAGGAAATTAGAATATGCAGGTAGCATAGATTTGTCATTCCCTTTTGGGACGTAAAGATTGATTTGCGTTCCTGCGAAATAAACAGAGTTTAGAAAACGCCTTTTATTCAAACATCCCAGAGCAGCACAAATGGTATACACATGGTCCTCAGCATATGGCCATAATTAAGTTTTGCCATCTTATGACTACAAATATAGGCCAGTTGCCAAGCGCCCCCAAATACAGTCACGTGACTTCAGGGGAACCTGGTGATCAGAACTCCGAATTGGAGTTGTAATTCCCATTTCCAAGGTCTGTTGTAGCTTCAAATGGTCGCTAAGCCACTGGATTTAAGTTGAGAACGACTCATATTTCTGACAGCTAACCTTTCTAACCAATATGAGAATGGCTAAGATGAGATAGCATATAAGGATAATCAGGATTTATATTCCTTGAAGACAGCTGGTCGTTTGCATTCTTTTAACAGAGTCGTTGAGGCTACATGGGGCTTTTTCTGTGTCCTCAGGGCCACCTGAGTCGTGCAAATGGATGCAGCACAGCTCTACAATGCAGGCCTTTCAGCAGTCCCAAGAAGGCTCCATAGCCATTTTCCCTACTTGGGTGACCCTGAGGGCACAGACAAACCTCCAAGTGGCCTCAACGTCGACCTAAAAGAAGGCAAACGACCAGTTCTGTCTGCAAGGAAAATACATCCTTCTGTTTCCACCATCCAGTTGGAGCTGAAGAAGCTTCTTGGATGAGAAGGGAAATGTCTTCAGAGAAATGCAAGAAAGTCCAGTTGCCTCTTGGAAAAAGCGCCTTTGGGACAACCATGACCTGAATGACTGAGAATCTCCATCAGACATGGTGCTACTTTTTAGCGTTCAGAGGCAGCTTAAAGACCTTCTGTGGCCCAGAAAGGGGAATTTTAGGTCTAGCCCAGCGGCTGGCAACCTTATATACTCAAAGAGCCACCGGAAGCCCCCCGTTAAATTCTGGAGATGACCGGAAGTCTGGTTCCCCCACCAAAGGGCCTCCTCCTAGTGCGACATCCTTTTTCCTCTACCCGTCCTAACTGAAAGCCCTATGAACTGTGGTGCCGACCGGCGACAGGGAGCCGCAGCAGAGGGATGAAAGAGCCACCTGTGGCTCTAGAGCCGTGGGTTGCCGACCCCTGATCTAGCCCCTAGAAACTCTAGGTTAGGGTCTAATTCCTCTCTCTGCCTCCTTGTAAAGACAGCCACCAAGAAATTCCTGCGGCCCAACGTCATCAAGCCCGCCGCTCCCTGGCAAGTCATTAACAAGACGGGGGAAGGAGGATCTAGTGGCGACGTGGTGGCCCTCCCTCACAAAGACCAGAAGGCCAAAACCCCGACTTCTCCGAGGCTGCCGGGGACCCGCCGGAACGGCCTGAAGACGGGAAGTGCGAGAGCAAGCGCGAGCCAGACCGAGGTCTTGGAGTTACCCGATTCTCCGGATCCTGCAGACCCCGGGGACGTGAGGGGCACCGAGGCTGGGCCCAGCGTGGCTCAGAAGAGAGACGTTGTCCCGGAGGTCATTAATTTGGAGGAAGCGGGGGCCAATCAGGACAACAACCCAGAAGGCGAACGAGATCGGACACTCCCGCCACGGCCAGCCCCCAACCTGGGAAGGGTTTCCCACTGCGCCCAGCAGAACATGCGGCTGGATCATCCGTACTTCCAGCCGGCGAAGAAGGAGGCACGAACTGGGGTCCACCCCCTTCCTTCTCAGCCAGCACCGTTGGAACGAGAGCTGGGGCCTTTGCCGAGGGTTTACCAAGGAGAGATCCCCGGGCCGGCTTTCCCCAGGCCTGAGCCTCAGCAGGATGGGATCCCAGGGCCGGCGTCCCCTCAACTTGCTCACCCGCCGGAGGAAAATGGAGGCCAGCCAGCGGCAATAAACGAGCAGGCCGGGCCAGCGTTTCCAGTCCAAGGGTCGCTGGATACCAGCACCAGTGAGCTTCCCAAGCAGACGGCGACCCTGCTGGACAAAGATCTCTTTGTGCTACTCACCCGAGAAACGGTAGGTCTTTTCTTTTTTTAATTTAAGGTTTTTTTTATTTTATATTTATAACAAGTCCATCTTTCACTTAAACGGTGCATTGACTGGGTACACATATCTTGTGCTAACAATTATGGTTAACGTACTTTCCGTGCCAAAATATCAGTAATCACATTTTCTTTATGAACCATTGTCGCTTACATATTTTATCTTTATGGCGATCTTAACTTATTTCTCTGTATGTTCATCTACTCAACTTTTAACTTATTTCTTCATTTCCCAACCATTGATAAAATAGATAAAACGAGGACCCAGTTTGTTGGGGGTAATATAATATTTGTAAACCGCTTAAAGAAAGTACTGTGAAGCGGTATATAAGTGCTATTGCTATTATTCCCAAGAGAGTTTAGTCAGCTATTCTCCAGAGCATCTGTGGGCAGGACAAGAACCCTTATCCATGAGAGATCCGATCTAGAACTATGGAGAAATTTCCTATCCGTGAGACAGTGGGAACGACTTGTCTCCAAATTGTGGGTGCTTCATCACAGGAGGTTTTTAAAGAAGAGATTGGACGGCCCCTTTGTCTGAAATGCTATAGGGTCTCCTGCTGGAGCCGGGGGTTGGACTAGAAGACCTCCAGGGTCCCTTCCCACTCTGGTTATTCTGTAATTCCATTGGGCGAGATTGTTGTAAATAGATCAATAAAGATACTTTTCTGATCAGCTCAGGGTGTCGTTCTGACTCCTCGTGCCCGGTAACGCCTGATAACATTCGACGGGCAAACAAGCTAGCCATTCCTTGAATGGCTGGGGTGCCCAAAGGATTCACACACACCCCTTCCTCTTTTTCTAGGAAGCCAGGTTTCCAGACGCAACGAGAGAGTACATCGAAGAGCTGATACAGAGCAAAAACTGCAGCGACTTAAACATGTAAGTACAAAAAGCCTCAGACCAGCAGATGGCCACCAGCCCTGGCGCAGAACCCCCAAAGCTTACGGTCAACTTCCCTTCCTTGCAACCCAACAAAAGATGATTCTGACGTCGTGTCTCGGCTCTCTCGCCTGAACCGTTTGCTTTGGTCTAGACCAGGGGTGTCATAAACTCGATTTCGTTGTGGGACGCATCAGGGTTGTGTTTGACCTGGGGTGGGCGTGGCCAGGGATGGGCGTGGCCAGCTCAGCGTCACTCGTGTTGGGGACACTTGTGGTGGCCATGTGCTAAGTCAGCTTCCCTCAGACCCTCCTTCCCTCTCATCATAACCTTCCTGCTGTCATGCCCCTGTTGGACTCTGATTCTGAGGGAGCGGTGGAACAGCTGACAGGGAGTGGGAGTGTGGCTCCAGTGGCTGGAAACTGGGGAAGGGCACAGTCCGGCTGGGCATTCAGAGGAAGACCCAGGCCCACCCCCTCTTCATCCTAGGACACGCAGGGAGGAACAGAAAAGGGAGCAACATGAGTTACAGGGTTATGGGGGAGAAAAGGGCCCTGATCCCCTTCAGTTGGCTGCAGCTGGGAAGACTGTTTAAAAGGGCAAACTGTGCACGCAAAGTTGCTGGAAGCAAAGCGTGAAATTATTCTGGTTTGTCAAGTCTTATCTGAGTTCCGGCGTCCTCCCAAGTGTGTGTATCTATTCTACCTCTCTCTCTATCCCAGGGGTCTTCAAACTTGACAGCTTTAAGACTTGTGGACTTCAACTCCCAGAATTCCTAAGCCAACGTGACTGGGGGAGGGATTCTGGGAGTTGAAGTCCACAAGTCTTAAGCTTGCTAAGTTGGAAGACCCTTGGTTTAAACTTCTCAAATGTGTGATGGATGGGCCAGGGGTTGTTCTCCGAAAGGCAGCTCTTTTTCCAAAGGGTCCTGTCTCCTTGTTGCTTTTTCAGACTCTGTAATTTTCTTCTGGAAAATCCAGACTATCCAAAGAAGGAACTCAGTATGGTTTTAAATCCAAATAGCAGCCTGCTTTCCAGCCAAGACGAGACAAAGGCAAGTTGAAATTTTCCTTCTCTTTGCAGTCCTTTGTTTTTTTTTTTTTTTACAGTCCTTTTTCTTTAGTGATTGTTTGAAGTATACAGTTGCAAAAAAAAGTTAACTTGGGACCAGTCCTCGCACTTACGTCCGTCACAGGGTCCCCAAGGTCACAGGATCAGAATTCAGGCCCCGGGTAAACTAGCCTGTATTTACGAGGGTTGGCAGCGTCCCGTGACGGCCATGTGTTAACTTCCCCAGCCGGCTTTGGACAAGCCAAGTCAAGAGGGCAAGCTGGATTCGCTTAATGCCTGTGTGGTTTGCTTAACAACTGTGGTGGAAAAAGGCTGTAAAATCCGGCGTGGCTGATTTCACAAACCACTTTGCTTAAGGAAGAGAAATTCTGGTCCCAAATGCAAGCCATAAGTTTGTGGCTACCGGTAAGCATCTTCAGAACTGCATTAAAAATTCTAAAGTGTACCTAAGAAAGTTTTTTTTAAGTAAAAAAAAATAATCCTTAACTTATTTTCTGTTGTCCTTCTCTTCCTTCTTCCTCCTTCTCTCCTCCCTCCTCTTCCTCCTCTTCCTCTTCCTTCCTCCCTCATCCTCTTCTCCCTCCTTCCTCTCTCTTCCTCCTTCTCT